GTACTTGTCTTGAAGCTTGGCCTTCAGCCACTCGTGTTCTTCGTTTGCGCGCTTCAGAAGTATCTCAACTTCCTTCCGACACAGATCTACCTTCTCTGGAATGACATCTTCAACATGTATTCCCTGAATACGGGCGCGAAGTGAGTCCATGAAGCAGTCCAACTTCTCTTCGATCATCGAATACTGACTGTTCTTCAATCTCAGGTCGCTGTCCACCTTCCAGGTCACGTTTGGTTTGGGTGCAATAACTTCGTACATTGGTACGGGATCGTACTGGATACGAAGAGCAACATTGTTGTAGCCAAAGTAGCGGACGTGATCCTTGTGGATGTCGTGTGGACATATGCCTGCTCGCGGATGCAGCTTGGTGCTCCAGAAAGTCAATTCGAGATACTTCGCGAAGGAATATCTCCAACTCCATTCAGACATCGGGAACGCTTGCGTCTCCTGGCCACATATCCTGCAACAGCTCCACATGAGGATGGTCTGGTACATTCCCTTAATCTTTGCCGGATGCTTTTGGACGATAACCGTCATCTGACCTTCACCATGCACGTATTGTCTGGAATGATCGAGCATTCTTCGGTCGCAGTTACCTACTTCACAAGCAACGCCAGCTGACGTGCATAGATCTTCGACATATTGGCCTAGAGTACAGTCAGGTGTGAAGCCATCGTCGTAGTCGTGCTCTTGATAGAAGCCAAGTGCGATAATCTCCGGGCCGATGCAAGGAGTTGATGTTGTAGTATTGACAACACTGTATAGGACGGCAATCTTCTGGTGGTTGAATGGGTCGTAAAGATCAGTGTTACCTGAGAGATACTGCTCCCATTGTCGCTTTTGAGTCAGGTACTGATGCATCGCTTTGTCGTACTCTGATGCATGCACTGCAGATAGGAACTCCCGCACTTGCTTCGAAGCCTTTTCCACCACAGTGTGGACCATCTCAGGTTGCACGAGTTCGAACTTTTGGCCAATTTCTCCTGGCTTCTCGTCGTTCTCACCAGCAGTATATTGGTTTTTGAGCTTTTTTAGATGACCAAGCTTTGCTTCATACTGACGAGCCTGTTCGAGCAGGTAAGGTTGCATGAACTTGACAAAAGGCGAAGAGGAGAGGATCTTAGTGCGGTGGTTTTCGACCATGTCGCTGTAGTATGATGGTGCAGCGTCGTTAGACTGTGGGTTGTTGCCGTCGGATAACGTGCTGGTAGGTTGAGAAGCGGGATCACTTGTGCCGGTTTGGGATTGCAAGCTGTCCTGATCATGACAGTTCGAGGCAAGAGTACCAGTGATAGACGCCGTCGGTGTATCTATAAACTCGTCACGCATCAGGCAAGTCTCGAGCCTGAGGTTGTACACCACATATGTCATAAACTCAGTGACACGTTTGAGCCTGACCAAATCATGGCTCTCGGCACCTCGCAAGACAATCGTACAACCAAGCTCTTTCTGGCATCCAGAAAGAAAGATGTAAGTCTTTCTCGCATTCTTGTGCACATAAGTTTTGACGTCAAAGCTGCCACAGGATCCAAGGTGAGACGGGTCTATCGCCAACTTATCCACTGAAGAGATCATCTTCGAGTTAGTACATCGCGCTACTGCATTGAGAACTGTAGGCTTGACGTTATAGACTACAGCAATCCCTTCTTTCTCTAGAAATTCGAGTGCCAGACCAGACACGTTGCGCTGTACGAGCAGGACATGAGGCTCGAGAGCTGCGATACGACTGACAAGATTGCGGAGGTACTCCCGCTCCTGCGCAATGACAGGCTCGAGACTCATAAAATGTGCTTGGTGACGTGCGTACTCGATAGCAAAAGTGATGATCGCAATCCTTGGATTAGGTATGTTGCGTGGCATACTTCGCAGGGCGACGTTCTTCGTGAAAACCACCCCAGAGATGTATGCCGTATCCTTTGGCTTGCCACCTGGAATTTTCTTAAGTTTGATGTAGTTCCTCACATCAATGTCGTCGCCTCTGTCTACGTCAGGATTGACATCGTCTGTGCACTGGCGCAAGATTGGGATCAAGGCCTTCTCCCAACTCGACGCGTGCGGAACACCGGCATCATTAAGCATCTGTATCAGCAGCTTTCGCGCATGATCTAAGCTTGCTCTGTTAAGCTCAACTTTGGGCGTCATTCCTTGCATCGATGCGCTGCGAGTGATTCTTCCTCCTGGCGGTGTTGGCGAAGGAGATGGCTGGAGTTGCGGCGTTCCTGGTCCGCTAGCACCGTAGCCGGTATACGGTCTCAACAGAGTGTTGCTCTTAGACCGCCTTGGGGAGGCTCGATGAGTTATACTGCTTACACTCAGGTTCCTTCGTCGGGACGGACGATTGCCGTTGCGACTTGTGATGCTAATGTTATCCGCATCTCGAGCATGACCGGCGCCTATGACACTGCTGTCACCAGCTCTTGACTTGCCCTTTCTCATCGCAGCCAACAGGCCACCCAAGCCACTTCTCTCGTTATCTAGATTTGCGCTAGCAGCAGGGTCTTCTCTCAGGGTCGCGAAGATGCTGGCGTGATCTTCTTCGCTTGAGCCCTCGTCTGACATGAAGGGCGCAAGATCAGGGTCAATTATGTTATCGTGGTGAAAAGCTGACAGACTTGGTTGGCTGCGCGAGTTGTCGTGGTACTGATGGAAGGGCGCGCGATCGTCATGCTTGACATGGCGCATGTGCTGGTGTTTAGAAGGGTGGCGTTTGTGGCTCGACGACCGGGGTCTACCACCTAACGACCGCAAAGATCGTGAAGAACTCGGACGGGCTAAAGTCTGAGGGCCGACTTCTATGACATGTGAACGGCGTTTCTTCTCACTGCCCACTTTCCGAGACATGGGTATGCTAATGGTAGGTGTTCCAATCTTGGTGTGATCACTCTCGACATGGTCAGCTTCGTCATCATCCGAGTACTCGGCTCTGTCACCGTTGTCGTATATGGAAGTTTGATCACCGTCATCTGTGTAGTCGGAAGAATCGTCGTCATGGCCATATATGATACCTTCACATGGTTTGCAGACCTTCAGATTGCTTTGTTGTCCGAATATCTTGCCTGACACAATGGATGTGCACTTGGAGTCGAAAATTTGCCCACACGTACGACAGTGATGCTTACGTCTGAAGGTGGTAAAAGCATCACCACAGCTAAAACATGCTTTAGCATTCTCATCGCGCATCCAGAATTCGCGATCTAAGATCTTCCGTCGCATTTGAGTGAAAGTGCTACGCGACATGTTGTGTACAGCGGGCGCAGCTTGGGCTTGTCGTTGTATCTCATCGATGGGAGCCACAGCAGGAGTGCGTATTGTGGAAGTTGTGACTACAGAACTTAGACCATCGGAAGAAGAGGCTCGCGAAGGCCGGTAGCCTGGCAGGTGCGAAGGACCGACGTGAAGCATGGGAGGCCGTTGTGGCTCAGGTGCGTGTATAGTAGCCTGAGAATCAGCAGCGCGACTGAGTGAGATTCTTTCTGGAGACTTTTCAGTCTGTTCCCTCGCCTTATTCGGCGCAGAACGGGTAGGTTGATACTGGCTATCGGCTCGGGAACTGACCCTGCTCAGACTTTCACGTGGTGTGTCTGACGCAGCCTTGAAATTGGCGCCGTCACTCGCTTGACCCTCGCCTTTCACAAGCACCATGTCGTCTTCGTCCGTATCGTCACTTTCCTGACCGACAAGGTCAAAGTCGCCCTTCCGTTTTCGAGCAGCGCTGTCTCGGCTCGGAGGAAAATGTGGAGAGTTCAGCCTCTGGCTTCCTAGTGTAGGATCTCGCGGTGTGTTGCTCCTCGGCAGGTCTACGTTGGAGATGCTCTGGTGCCTGGAGTGGACGCTCACAGGACTCAAGATGGAGGAGTCGTCGTGTTTGGCTGCATGCGCCGTGTCCACACTTGGGGTTATTGAGGGTCGGGAGCGCGTGGTACCCAGGGAAGCTTTTGATGCATTTAGCGAAGCTTTGCTTGACAGTGTGGTACTGGACATGTTGGAGTCGCGAGAGGGAGGCAGTGCGTCGGGAAAGGTGGCCGTTGCTGGTGACTGCATGCTCGAGGACGGCCTAGACGTGGCTACGGGCGAAGATATGGAAGGGCCCCCTGGGCTACGGTGGACTGCTGCAGACTTATACGCTGGTGAAGTTGTACTTCGGCCATCTTGAGATTGTTCCCTGACGCCGCCCACTGACGCTCTGAGGCGACTATACAGCCCGCTGAAGCCGCCCTGTACGAGGTCTATGCCTTTAGGTTCACCAACCGAGCTCGGGGCTGGAGGGACGGTAAAGTCGTCAAAGGTGGTAAGCGTGTCGGAACGTGATGCTGTGGCATGCATCTGGTAGAGCGAAGGCGGCTGCAACGACCCCCGCCGCGAGTCTCGAGACATGGTTGCTGTCAGAGGATCGGGCGTCTGCGAGTGAGGTAGAGTGTGTCGGATATTTGGAGGCCGAGCGGCGTCCGACAGTGATCAGTGAAGGACAGCATCAGGCTTCATGGAGGAACACGGTCTGATAGCGGGCGAGGTGGAGTCGACAATGTTTAGAATCTCGTTACACGTGTATTGCTTGTTCGGCCAGTAGCGAGGGAGGCCAGATGAGTGGCTTCATGGAACTTGCAAAGAAAACTCCAGGCATCGACGGGAAGCTTCGACTGCTCGGGTAGCTGAAGCATCACGAGGTGCATACAGCAAGCTAGGTATGCAAGATACGCGGTGGGCGATGACGCGCAGCCGCCAAGAGTTTCCGCCTGAGGTCTGCTTGCACCTCCGCCCCCCACGTCCCTCGGCATGGGCGCATTTTGGCTACGAGATGCAGCTATGCAGCCGCCGTGAAAGGTCGCACAAGACATGAATGCGCTGAAACCAAGTGGAACACCAGCTGCTGTTCCTCTCCATCTGGACTTGTACCATGTTGTTTCCTTTACCCCGCACACGGCTTGTTGTCTTCCATCTGTACGCATCTCGCCGGGACCAGACGCGTCGCGTCTTCCCCTCGCGCCTAGAGCTCACATTTTATGGCCATTCGTCTCACCGCTTGGCTTGAAGACGCATTCGAGTCACAGCTGCTGCTAGGTAACCAATGGCTTCAGGACCAACACGAGAAGAAAAAATCTCGTAGCAGGCAGGAAATAGATAGACAGCGAAGCGCGTACCACGATAACGGCTCGTCCCTGGATACTATCAATTACCCTGACCCCGAACACAACTGCATACTGCAGGTCCTCAAGGCATGTAATTGCGCACCACCTCTGGCTCTCTCGCCTAACTTTCAATACCTCAGGTTTCTCCACTTACGTTTTCTGACGGCCGGAATCAAGTAGTCTCTCACCTTACACCTGACTGCGCTCGGGACTTCTTACAGCGACACCCCACTGTGTTACACCTGACCGCAGGCACGACCATAGCCGCCCGAAAATACACTGTCCGATTCACCTCATACGGGCCGCCTCCCGAAAGACTGCGCTTGGTGCTCAACCAGATTGATTGGCTAGGCGAGAGTTGCGAACTACTGCAAACCCAGGGCAGCGCAACTTTACGATCGCTACACGCTTGCAAGCAGATTGGGCGTCTGCTAGAGCAGCTGCGCCATATCCGCGCGCTCGAAGACCGCCGACGCTTAGCACCCGGTGTTGAAGAGGCAGACGTTGAGGCAAAAGACGACGCTGCGGTAGATGCTACGCGTCAGAACAACAATATGTCGGACCGCAATGCGCTTCACTCCCAGATGCAGGACACGCAAGCACCCTTTGCAACACAAAAACCAAGACCCTCACGTCCGCGGGCAAGCGAAGATGAGCCGCAGATTATAGGAGTGAACAGGCTGGAGCCGGTAATGGCTGGGGACACGCAACGAGTCGAAATACGACCAGGAGCTGCAGATACCGACTTTGAGAAACGCAATAATTTGCTAAACCTATTAAACCTGCGCCCGAAGCTCAGCGCCAGCACACACGCCACGACTTCTGGGTCAAGCTTTATACAGGACGCTTTCAGGAGGCCGCAAAATGCTCCTGCGCTACCCGCAGATGAATCTCCTGAATCCCCATCAGATCCGTCGCATCAGCAACCAACACAGCTCGAAACAGAAGTTGAAAATGGAGAGCCTGCGTCATCTGCGCCAAACTATAAGAAGATGGTCAAAAAAGCAGGGGATATCTCCCCTAAAGTTGCAAAAGCTGCCGAACACTCTCGAGTCGAAGAGCAAGACATCCAACAAAGCCTTATTGAAGACAGTAGTGATAAACCACCTGAGTGCTCTTGGATGAAAGACTTGGTCTTCAACAGCGAGACATTACAGGTACCGAGAAGTCAGGCGCAATGTCTAAGCAAAGAAACTAGTTGGCTAAAACCTCCACCTGGGGTGCAGCCTTTCCAGAATGGAAATATGCCCTACTCGATACTCAAGAACATCCACCTAATAGCTGACGAGAGAGCTGCTGCTGAAACCGATAGTGGGTCAGACGCAGATCCGTCGCCAGAAAGCCCTGATTCATCGCCCGAATCTTTAGCCCCAAAGATGCAAGATGAGGAGCCTGCAACTACTCAGGAAGACGATGATACAGCTAGTCAGGTGACCTGGCAATCCTCTCCAGAGCCACCAGAACGTCTGCCGAGGCGTCACGAGGAACTCCCTCCGGACTCAAGTATGGAGAAGCAAGCATCTCATTCACATGATGACAATCCAGCCGATCTCTTATCTTCGCCGCCTGGTCCTGCTGCATCTGCCGATTCTGATGAGGAAATGGAGATGGAAGAGTCTGTTCCACAGGCCTTGGGAGAAGACCTTGCACAACGAAAACAACCACCATCAGCGATCGACAAGCTTCCAGATGCTGTTTCCCTACGCTCTCCCATAATTCACGTAAAGGATACTCCATACGGCAAAGGCAAGAATGCCTCAGAACCAAAAAATGCACAAAAGTCAAGTAGCGCGTCGAAACCCACGTCATCTACCTCAATAGTTCACAGTACATATGATACGCCTAGTCTATCTGATCTCGCTGACGTCGGAAACTTCGAAAGTGTCAAGGAGTATCCGTCGCATACACAAGAGAAAGACATAGGCAGTGAGCGCAAGGAAGTTGAAGTACATCATGGCAAGGCCAAGGATGTGGATACCGATAATGTCGAAGATGTAGAGATGCTCGACATGTCTCCAGCCGCACAAGATCTCAACAAGGAAAATGCTCGCGTTGTCGTAGCTCCAGGACAATTACCGAATGGCTTGGATGGCGAGGGTGTGCTTACGTCTGCGTCGCACGCAACCCCATACTCGGTGCACTTATCTCAGAACAATGGTGACTTGGATGTATCACCGATGGTACCTCATCACCCCCCACAACCTACCAAACGTAAGCTCATTAGTTCGCCAACCAAAAGCAATCGACGGCAACCTAAAAGGCGAGAAATCAAGATCGTCGGCTTCGGAGATGATGTATCGTCTAATGTTGACCTAGTAGGCTCACTGCGCAAGGATCGGGAAGAATCCTTGCGCAGATTTCGGGAGCAACGTAACTCAAGCACAACAAGCTTTGAGAATCAACCCGAGCTTGAAAGCAAGCCTACCGTTGATGATGATTCGGACATCATGGAGATCGATGGTTTTGATCAAGTGACGAAGAGGGAGCCATCTTCTAGCCTATCTCCTCGACACCAAGGTCTTTACGACGAACCTAGCCCCAGAAGAGCACAGCCCATTACAAGCCCAGCGCCTCAGCCATCTCATTCGCACGCCTCCTTCCAAGCTCATCCAAGCGATACTCTGACACGCGGGCCAGCTCCGATACATGCTGAACCCTTGTCGATATCGTCCGAGGATATAGATGAAGATAGCAACACGACAGTCTTCCAGTCCTTCAAGGCGGCATATCCAGAGTATAACGGCAATGAGAAGCACTTTGAGAATCAATGCAATCAGATGTACCAGCTGGAACAAGAAGACAAGATGGTGCCAAAATGGCAGTGGGACGATTTTATCATCCGTAATAGGACAGATTATAGCCAGTACGCTATGGACTGTATTGATCAAGGAGAAAACCCTGAGCCGTACTACCGCTTCTACAAAGATAACATTCGCAACACGCTGTACACGCGGGGCATCATTCAGAATACGAAAACATTACAAAGAGCACTGGAGGAGCTAGGTGTTGCACGTACAGAGACTAGCAGACCTAGACAACCACCTCAGTCTATTCAGAAGCCGAAGCCTGCTAGGAAGTCGTTGCCAGGTGCTTTCGAACAGCCCAGGAAATCTACACACGATCGCGTCAGCGGCAACTCGTCTCGCCCGCGCCATTCTCTCCCCGCGAACCCACATGTCCGCCCTAAAAGCCGCGTCCAACCTGCTTCGCCCGCATCTTCATCACGACCGCAGTCGAGATATCCAAACCCTAAGCTTGACGATCAGGGCAGTTCTCGCGATAAATTTAAGGACTTCTACTTCGGCTATCAGCGTATTACATCCCTAACTGGCAGCACCGCAGTGAGTTCCACGCCCACGAGGAGTGACAAAGCTTCGAACAAACCATCTGAAAAATCTTTGGGCTAAGGTATGTATAGGTCGATGGCAATAAGCAGTGGCCACAGAATCTGGCTGGTAGACCAACTGTTGCTGATGTGTTGCCGCCAAGGAAAAAGGTTGATGTGCTGGATTGGGGGGATGTCCTGGGAAAGATGGGCTAGACAGGTGGGAAGTGAAGTACTTTGGGGGCTTTGACATTGGACTTAAGTTTGTTTGGCTTATAAACTAGGATACCCAGGACTATTGCTTATGTGTGTGCGAAGTGTTTTGGATAGTGCTAGGATATAGGGTTCTGTTGCATCATTACATGATCATGTGGATATCGAGAAGGATACTTTGCTCACTTCCAACTGTTGAGCAATTGCACAGGCCTATATATGAAAGTCACTTGCGGCATTTGATCACGACGAACTATGGATGACAAAAGTGAGATGCCGATATCATCGTAAGAGGGTATATACTTCCTCCCAGGAAAGAGTCATCAAGTGCCTCATCCCATTGCATCGATATATGATTCTTGCGCATGGCCATATAGCAAACCACGCTCTAAGGCCCCCACACCACCGTCCTCCACCTCCTAGCGCCCTGCAGCCCACTAACAACAATCGTAACCACGAAAAGCAGTGCATTAAACCCTGCCATCATGTAGAACGGCGCGCCAGGCCCCGTGCTATCAAACAACGCACCACCGGCTTTAGTCAGTAGTAAGATACCAAAGCCACCCAGCAGACTATAAGTTCCTGCTATCGAGCCTTTAATGTGGTTGTGCGATGTAACTCGTCTTGAGGCGGAAGCAGAGCGCGAGGAGTGTATGTGCTCTGGAAGCAAAGGAGCGTTTTCGTCCAAGGGAGTGATGGGTGCGCTGTGTGGCGGTGTAGCGCCTGCAGATGGATGCGACGTTGTTCCGTTCACGGACACAGATGCCGAGGTGGCTGTTGAGGGGTGTTCATCATTGTTGATGCCACGGCCGAGTAAGGCAAGGGAACAAACGATGGCGCCGATCTGACTAATGCCTAGTAACGCCACGATGAAGAAGATCGCACCTGTGCCGTCTTCACTCTTATAGTCCGGGCTTGTGAGTGATCCGAATGCAGAGTAGCCTGCAATTCCAGACATAGCTGCTACCAGCAAAGGGATGTTGTAGCGAGGGAAACGACCGGAAAGGTAGCCGAAGAGGGGTGCAGACATGAGAGCTATGAGCTGGCTGATGCCCGTCAACATGGCTGCAAGTTTGTAGGCTTCGGGACAAGCGACTTTGATATCGGAAGGAATGTTGGATTCCACTTTACAGCGGCCGGTTTGCAGGAAATAGTGATTTGTGAACAGGGGTATGAAGAGCGATATAGCGACTGATGATGCGCGTGCGACGAATCCTCCTACGTAGCCGAGTCCGATGTTTGGCGAAGTGAAACCAAGGCGAACACTTTCCAGAAAGAGACGCGGGTAAGATAACACAACGTCGCGTGTCAGGTGGCTGTCTACGTCTTTGTAAACGCCTTTGCTAGTAAGGCGTTTCCAGCCTTTCGCTTCTTCGCCTGGCAACTGGCGCAGGCCGAAGAAACAGCCCAGTGCCACGAGAAGAGCAATGGCTCCTACAACATAGAAAGCATCTGCCACAGCTGTTTCGGGACGCTCGCCAGCATTTTGGAATTGTGTTGGCAGAGGTAGGAAAACGAACAATGCGACCAAGGCACCGCATCCTGTGAACATGCCCACTAACCCGGCAAGTTGTGACGTGGATACGCCCGAGTCCTTCTTCAAGGGCGTGTCTTGTGTATGGTCTTCCGGGGAGTTTGATCGGAAACGCGCGGGCGTAATGGTGAGTTCGGACGATATCGAAGCAGCCGGCGCATGCGATCTACCACGACTTTGTGTCGGCGACCGCGGATCAGGTTTGGTTTCCTTGACAATAGTCATCGAGGGCAGAATCGCCGTGACCATAGTCGCGCTGGTCAGATGTTAGCCTCTCATGTCTGAGCATCCCAAGTCCTCAGAACTTACGTCGCGCTTCCACCCAGACTAAACAGCACCCTCGCAAGCAACAACTGTGGGTACACATTCTTCGCCTGCACAAGAACCCATAGCGCAACACCTACAATACTATACCCCATGACCGCAACACTCCTCACGCCAACCCTGTCGCTCAGTAAACCCCATGCTGGACACGCAATGAGCGCTACCAACTCATCCACGAAGCCCAGGGTGCCGACCGCATCGCCCACATTTCGCGACTGGCCAATGCGCTGTGTGATGACGAAGGATATCGAGCTATTGAGGAACACGAGAAAGCTGATGCTGAAGAGAGCGACGCCAAAGAGGTAGGATGCGATCTGCGTACGCGTCGCAGTGAATTCAAGACCGAGCATGACTTTAGCGACTTGGGCTCGCGGTGAGCTGAACCGACTTATCTTAGGCGCATTGAGATGTCGTGTTTGGTGTTTGCGAACAGGCGATGTCGCGTTGCGGCCGTTCGGTCCGAGGATGCGTGATGTCAGAGGCGTGGCTAGATGATGCCCAAGTGTGGCTGGAGTTTACTAGCCTCACGTGTCCCGTCTTCACTCTACGGGAGCGTGAACTAGACGGTATTCGTGCTAGGAACAATATTTTGCGCGAGTGCCGTGCGAGCCGAAGAATTATCCGTAATGGTGGTCAGCACTCAATGAACCACGATAAAAGCAAGTCGAAGCGTACTGCGGTCTGTTCATCGAAAGCATGCTATCATTCCAATCTCCACTTCTGGCAGATGTCGGCTGCAAGCTCTCTAATCATTTTCGAGCCTATGCCACCGCCATCACATGCAAGCGATGGCAATGTTGATTACTGTCAAGATGGGTATTGCTAAACTAACTGGAGAGATAGATATACAAAAGAAAAGCGCTGAAGAACGTATAGATCGTAATACCCTTATCGACGGCCACAGCACCACCAACGCCAAAACCATGCAAGGAGCAACACAAAGCCTCGAGTGCACCCAGTACCCACAAATCCCGCTCTAAATGAATTACTATTGTTTCCTTTATATATCAATGATCAGCGCTGCAGGGTCAGCGCCGGGTCCCCATCCGCAGCCTGCGTGCTGGGGTAAACAAGCCTGCATCTGCAGGCCCACAAGTCACAAACAACGTGTCCTATACTTTACCCCAGCCCACAGGTAAGTCCCGTCCCTGGTTTGGACCCCAGTAATTCCGGGTCTTGGGATAATCGCCGTTCTCGACGCCCTGGTTGAAGAGACCACGGACTGTGTTCATTCGCACAGTGTCACGAGGCTTCAAATCGAACTTGAAGGGTATCGGTTTCGCGATGAGCAAGATGGAGTAGTCGAGTGTCGGATCTTCGGGCTTTTTGGTGATGTCGCCCCATTCCAGCGGCTTATACGCTGGCTCGGCGGCCTTCGACTTCTCTTGTACGTCGTTTGCTGAGTCGGATCCAGGATATGAGAACTTCGCAAGGATCTTCTCTTCCATTGTTGGGTCTGTTGTGTCTATACCTGCGTTGAGCTCTTCGTTAGAGATTGAAGCCTTCTCGTTCATGCCAATCTTGTATTCTGTCCTCGTTGACTTCATGACGGGCGGGATAGTGGATTCTGCTGGTGATTTCTTGATATCAAATAGCCAGGCAATCGCACCGATGCCAATAAGCAGATCTTCATCAGCCACAGCCTGTCCAGTGCATGTCCTTCGGCCATAACCGAACTGTGTTGAGTTGATTATAGTCGGGTATTGGGAAAGAGGCTCTTGATAGGTGGGGTACTCTGGTTTGATCCATCGTAGAGGGTTGAAGGCTTCCGGGTCGGGGTACAGATCGGGATCACGGGAGATGGCCCTGCGAAAGTCAGTTAGCTTTCTAATGCATCCAAAAGATTGACCTGACTTACCACTCCAAAGGATGTATCGTGCTACCCTTGGGAATATGATAACCATTGTACTCGTCATCCTGGATCAGGTAATGAGGAATGCCAGTGGGGACTGGGGGGCGCCATCTAATGCACTCTCGAATGATGGCTCGTAGGAAAGGAAGATTTGGTCGGTCTTCTGAACGTGGTATCCGGTCTCCACAGACACGGTCAAGCTCTTCGTGTAACATAGGCAAGAACTGTGGATAATGTGTCATGGCTAGACAGAAGGTCTGCATAGGAGCAGCGATAGTGAGAGCTCCAGCAATACCGTGCATGCCTACAGCATATGCGCCTTCTGTGTCGGACTTGAAGCCCCATTTGCTGCGGCCATCCAAGAACGTCTTCATCCAAGATGGAGCGGCTTGTCCTGATCGCATATCGTCGACGACTTGTTCTTGCATTGTCTGGAACCACGTACGCTCAGTGGTCGCACGTCGCCTCTCCCAAGCCTTGGGTGGGGAGAGCCAGTCAGGGAGAGACATAAGGAACGGAAGCTTGTTGCTCAGAGAACCAGTGGGTGAGACACCGATGAGAAGCTCACGCGCGCGTTGCTTCAGCTCATCACTGCCTTCGCTGTGACCCCAGGCAAGCCGGCAAGTGACGCGTGAGATGAAAGACTCCAGAATATGATTGTATTGGTCCGGCGCATCCAGCAATTCGGTCAACATACGTGTTGATTCGATTTCAGGGTATCGATGGAACGCGGCCTTCTCTGATTCGCGCATGATGATGTTTGCAAATTTCCTTTGACGAGTATGACCCTCTACTAAACGTTAGCAACAGCGGTAATACAATCTTTGTCAATGGTCCTTACCATTTCGGCTGAGGAGGGGGAGATATTGGGCGCTTGAACGATTGTCGTCTATCAAAGACGGAATGTGTGGTCGGTCCGAGTAGATCGCTGCTTTCTTCGATAGCAGGTCTTTGGCAATTTGGTCACTAGATATCCAGACATGGTTGTGACCAGCCAAGTTGCATTGATAGATAGGCCCATATTGCTTGCCCCAATCTGCGAACTTGATGAACCCATTCTTCTCAGGAACCTCAGGCACCGAGCCAAGGATAGGGTAGCCTAGCATATATCCGTCAGCCAAGGTACTTGTATGATCTTCAGGGTCCAGCTGTAGGACTTGTCTACATGATCTACAGATGGAGAGAGTGCCATACCTTTGGGTCCTGGTAGAGGCTTGAGACCTGTGGGTATTCTCTGCCGACGAGAAGAATCCCAGCACTTGTATAGTACATATGCACCCAGCACAGCTACCG